AGGGGCTCTCTGCTTCTTTGAGATGCTGCGGTAGAGGACCTGCCAGGGGAATTCTTTCGTAACCACATGGGCAAAAGAAACTCATGCCTTGCTGATGACGAGGTAGAGGAGCTCTCCGCTCGCTCGTTCGTCTTTTGATTTTGGAGGAGCTATATTAGTAGCGAGCTCCCGTCAGTTCTCTTCAAAGGAGATGAACACCTATCACGAGACCAAGGAGTTCTTGTAGACAGGAGCTTCACCAAGAGTAAGTTGGAGGGACATAGACATCTTTTTTTGTGTTAAAGCATGACGTAGAGGATTACTCTTTGTATCTAAAGGCAGAGAGCGGGGAGGACCAGACGTCTTTGTTGGAAAGTTGGGGTGGAGCTCCACCCTTTCTTCTTGAGCACATGCTCTCTTCCATCTTTTCAGAAGGTGGAGGAGATAGTCAGGATATTTCTCTTCTGGGCGAAAGGAGGTCTCTTCTTGCCGACCGAAGGGTAAATAGGAGTTCTCGTCTTTCGCGTGAAGTTGGAGGGGCTTGTCTGCTTTGTTTGGATGAGGCTCAGTTCTTATAATAACAGGAAGTGGTTGCGAGATATCATTGTGTCTCAGGTATGTCATGACTCATGCAGGGCGGTCAAAACGAACATCGCAAATCGATATACGCTTCTATATGAAATGGCATCAGGATATCATTCATGTGTCAGGTATACCAACCGGCACCCGATGAGGTTGCTTGCAGACATGACAGAGGGTTCTCGATGCTCGACTGCTTCAATAAGTTCTTGTTTTTCATCTAACGTAGAACAATAATGATTTAGTACAAATAAATTTAGAACTAACTTCGGTTCTATCACTCATATCCAGAATATTCTTGCTACCATTACTATAGTATTTGTATCAGCTATTATTTTTGCAAATATGTTTGCTGAGCCAAATGAACCTTATAGGACGCAGCCTCACATAAATGTCTGTGTGTGTGTATGTGTGTAAATATAGCAACGAGCACAACAGTAAGGTGAAGACCAAAAGGTTCGAGAAGTCTAAGCCACCATTCCAACAAGGGTCACGGAACAAAACCGTGTGTGTGCGTGTGTGTGTCTGTGCGTGTGCGTGCGTGCGTGCGTGCGCAAGCGGTAGGCCGTGTCAGTGCCACATTATGTTGTCTTGCAAGCCTTTAGCCTCGGTCTGCATCATCAAAGTCTCCGGCAGTGCACGAGGCAGCAAGGTGCCATGAAGAATGAACCAGCTAGACGAGCTGTCCCTCCAGGGCCCTGCGTAATCATGCACCAGAGCATTCCAGAATATCGCGTTCCGTTTCCTCCAGCACGAACCTGGCACAGCTCAGGCATTTCAACGCATTGCATCCAGCTCAACCACGTAAAACACCTTCGCAAAGCTGCGGCTGGCAGGAAAAGTGCGCCTACATCCGAAACATCTCTCGCTGGCGTCAAGGACTGATCATGTGACATTTTGCAGCCCACGTCTGGGGCTTTGGGAATATTATGCAGATCCTTCATAGATTATAGATAGCATCACCGGGGTTGGAGAGGTCAAGCAGGTCTGCCGCCTTGATGTTAAGGCTCGCGACTCCTCGCGTGACCTAGATACGGTAGCTCGCAACCTTCGTGAAGACAAAGAGGTCTCAACCTGGAAGGAATTACAATGCATCGTGGCAGTTAATGCGCTTTTGGCTCCAGCGTGGATGTTATAATGTTGAACAATCTTCAACCCCTCAAGCTCATGAACAAAAAGAATGCGATGATCGTAGTGGTCGTGACGGTGGCTATATAATGTATGATGATAGCGATGGTGCTGACGAAGACGAAGAAAGCTAACAAAAGATTCTGTTGATGATAACGATGATGACGGCTATGCTGATGATGACAATGATGACGACCAATATGATTATGATGATGATGACGACTGATGATGATGATGATGATGATGATGACGTTCATGACGATGATAATGATGAGGACCATGCTGACCATGATGATGGTGATGACGATGTTGATGAGGAGCTGTGGATAATGATGAACATGATGTAGAAGGTGCGATGAAACCGATGATGATGGTGATTGTCATAATGATGACGGTGGTAGTGGTGATGCTGCTGATGATGAGTTCGTAGTCGTACTCGTTTCTGTTGTTGCCGTCGTTGTTGCGGTTGTGGTTGTGGTTCTTGTTGTTCCTTTTGTTCCCATGATGATGTTCTGAGCAGCGGCACCCTTTCTTAGTGTCGACATCATCCTTGGTACTCTTCCTTCTGCGTCCTTTGATCCTCGGAGATAGCTGCATGCTGTCCTTTTGACAGGCACTGTTGTGTTGCAAACTGTAATGTGGCTGCCTCAGAACCCTTTGCCGGTAAAACCCAACCCTAAATCCGCTTGCGCGAGGTGTTTTTTCCTCAATGTACAGGCTTGCACACAAACTTTTGAGGAGATCGCTGTTCGGCAGCACATTGTCAGGAAGCACCTAGTGACCTAGTCCGAAGCTGGAAAGTGCACGCGAGTCCGATCAGGTCAGCCTGAGGCCTCGGAAGCCCGTAAGACACTGTTTGGCATGTTACGTTCTTCGGCTGCAGAGACTTTATTTCAAGCCCATGGAGCAGGACCCGCGCCGGCAAATGAAGTGTGAAGCCAGGACCTTGGCACCTGGTCACACAGTCCGCTTGCCAGGCGCAGGTCAAACCCACAATTAGAAACTACGTCGCAAACTTGCCAAACTGGGAGTACTGATATCTTTGATGCCGTAGTTAGCAACAAAAAGACGTACTGTGATGTAAGGAGTTGTAGCAGCCAGGATGTCAGAACTGGTAGCAACGATGTTCAGTAAACGAAGGTTCATACTTTTAGTAATAGGTACTTGTAGTCTCCTTACATCTCGTTACTGAAACCAGCAACCGCACCCGTTGAAGTTCAGTTTGTACAGCTATCGACCTGGCCATTGCTCGCGACTTGAAAGCCGAACCAAAAACCTACGACTGAATCTGCGCAGCTAGTGGGTCCCTCGTTGTGTTTTCGGTCATACATGGGCGTTCGCTTCCGTACTGGGTGTATGAACAACAAACACATATCTACAGATAAATCTGAATATGTGTATGTACATGTATATATATATATATATTCATGTATTTATCTATATTTATAAACACACATACACGTGCAAATGTGTCTACCCACACACATAAAGATGTGTGTATGTATATATATATATATACGCCGGTCCACGGCTAGTCTGTACCGAAATTCCGCAGAACCTCAGTTCCGCAGGCGGCACTTGACACAAGTGTTGTCTAGAGCCTATGGAAGCTTTGCAATAGCCAGCTGCAGGCGGCTCTTGTGGTCGGAGCAAAGCACTCTCCGTCCAGGCCCAATTCCTGAGATGCAATAGGATGGAGGTTTCGTGTGAAGTGTAGTATTGAAGGATTGAGGGGCATGCAAGGGAGAATGGGATTGGGAGAATCCTGAACATGCAAACGTGCAAATGACTTTGGGAGAAAGGATCTATGTAAGATGTGAGGAATGCTCATGCGGCAGAGGCGGCAAGCCGGCCTCTGCTCCCAGCGAACACCCACACTGAAGCCAGATTGTTCTCGAGGAACCAGCTGTGGCATCCATGTGACTTATCGTCAGTACATGGTTAAGCGACAAGAGGCACTCACTCTCGCAGTTTTCGGGCAAATCTGCATCTCATGAAATGCACGCGTAGCTGGCACATAGTCGTGATTTGCATGGGGCAGGTTGCAGACCCGGTTCTCCATGCGTGACAGCCAGTGCGGTTGTAAATGGAAGAAGGTTATATCACAGCAACAAGACCTCGCAGCAAGGATGACAATACACCTGCCAAATTTATTGAACCATACCTCTGTCGGTTTGTTACCAGTACCTGCTCAGCAGCCAAGCGAATAGAATTATAACACGCGTAGTATGCAGCGAGACAGCTACGACTACAGTTTCTGCTCGGCGGCATGCTGGAGCAAGCACAGCACATAGGCCATAAGCTTTGAGGGAGGGCCGGTGATCCTGCCTATCCCAACCAACCGCGAACGCAACAAGCACCACTCCACGGGGAAGGGGGGAGACAAACAAGCCGACAGGAACTCACGTAAGGCCATGCTGGCGGCGGGATACCATAGGGTAGGTGGGAAGGGAGTGGGCTCAGGCCCTGGATCATATATGCCGCCTTACTTCCACCTACACTCTTGGACAGGAGGTTAGAGAATCCAAAAGAAGTGTTTTCCGACAAAGTCAACAGCTGGTTGGTCGGTGTTGCCGCAGAGGGAGTTTAGAACCAAAAGGAAAGTTAGAATCACCCCCACATCCCTCGATCACTCATGCTGCCGTTTGTATGAACGGATGTATGCTTGAGTAACAGTAGGACACACGTCTGTGCGCGCATGCGCTTTCTATGTTCTTGTGTAGGAAAATCGGGGTGTCGAGCACCCTACATGGTAAGCTTGCGCCGCTGGTGCACAATTGCAAACCTAGACCAGACCCCAAAAGGAGGGTGGAGGGACCTTCGACCTCAATCAACAGCGCGAGTGGCGGACGCTCAACCGACCGGGGCATGGGAGACATGAACCTTGAGAGGAATGGAATGGCAAAAGCCCAAAAACCGCTTGTTGTGGATCCTGCAATTCGACATCGCGACGGGGAAACCTCGGGCATAGTCAGTCCCTGCTGTTAGACCGTTAAACTTACGACACAACGTCGCCTTGCAGACTCTTCCAGCGAAACCTGGCGCAGCCAGTGCATGACATACCGCTCAGCAGCAGGGACCTAGCAGAAGAAAAGTTGCGATTCAACTAACCCACTGACGGAAAGCTGGAGTGACGTGAAGTGCTCCAGGGCTGACATTGTTGGCAGAAACATGCTGATTCGTGATATGTATTCACGCCAGCGTGCACTCATGCACTCGTGTGTTCGTTGATTCATAGATGCCCTCTTACCTGCCTGACACCGAACATCCACCAGCCAGCCAGCCTTCTGTCCCTCCATCCATCTATCTATGCATGTATCCATGCACAACTACCCGCTCGTACTTACATACATTCATACATACATACAGTTACCTATAGCCATATAGCTACAGTAAATACATACATACATACATACATACGTACGTACGTACGTAAGTACATACAAACATACAAGCATATAGGCGTACAGACATATATGCGTACAGACAGGCATACAGACACACAGACATGCAGACATACATACATACATGCATACATACATACATACATACATACATACATACATACATACACACACACACACACATACGTACCTACATACATACATACATACATACATACATACATGCATGCATACTTACTTACGTACGTATATACTTACACACTTAAGTGCTTGCATGCTTTCCCTGCAAGCCCCACATGCCTACGTGCACACATACCTACATACTTACTCACGTGTATACATATCTACATACATACGACATTACATACCTAAATACATACGCATATACCTACATAGGTACAAACATATGTATCAACCTACCTACACACGTACATACATACGTGCATGTGTGCAGATGGGCATGACACCCATATGTGAGAGTGTATATATATATAGATATATATATATATATATGTAAGTTTATATGTATGTATGCATCTGCGGCTTCAGCACAAGTAGACAAGCTTGATGAGCCGATGAGGCATCTTCCCTGGCTTCTGGGGTCGCCCTAGGCTGGTTCCCGGACGTCCCATGCTCAGTTTAGCCCCGTGAGGTGCTCCGCCTCTGAAAGACTAAACGACGATTCAGTTCAGCTGAGAGCTATTCGCTCGTCACTGGCAGATCCCCAGATCTGAGAAGTTTATGCCGTCAGGCGGGGGAGAAAGGTTGTCATTGGAGCCGGACACAAGCTTGAAATTCTCCCTGCAGAATCGTCTCTTGTGGGGTTAGCCGTTGAAGCAAAATCGAATGCCAGCACATCTATGTATTCTGAATTTGGACAAGAAACTGACAAGTGACCCTATGCCTGCCTGTTCTTGAGAATGTTGTTCTTGCCCGTATCTGTTGTACCCTGAGTTATTTCCGACATAGCTATTTGCCCGAGGTTGCCAGGATTCGGGGAATAATATGTACAGGTTGCAGGGTGCAGTTGTGTAGCATCTTCATGCACATCGAGATGTCGTGCTGTTCGGCACGAAAGTCTCCAGTTTCCGGCATGAAGCTCGGAAGAAGGCACGATCAACAAATCATTGCAATAAAGTGGCACTAGCAAGCATCATCGTCGCACAGCTTGGAACAGCTTGACAGTCCCAGTCAGAATGATCTTTCGTAGCCCCGTCGCAGTAGTGGCAATATCAACAGCAGCAGTAGAGCATGCAGTTGTCCTGGTCTTCGTCGACGTCGTCGTCACAGTCGGAAAATGTCACAAAGTACTGATGCCCAATTCAAGCCTCTTTCCTGGTCCGAGGCTTACGCAGTGCCACCATCGGATGTCCCAAAGCAAGAATTCCGGACATCAGTAGTCTCTGCATTGCTCGCTGCTGGAAAAGAAATCGCGTGACTACGAATATGTGCAAGTCTGCATTGGTTCTGTGGGAAGGCCTGGGGGACTCCACTCGAAACAGCAATTACTCCAGTGACTTCCAAATCCAGCGGGTCTATGAGACCAGGATAAAGTCCCAAACGAATTGCATCCGGCAAGTTTAAGCCCCAACAGCTTATGGCTCAGCTTGGCCTCAGAATCTCTACAGCATCCGTCAGGGATGCAACACTGGTTTCAATTCTCTACCCGAATCTGGCTTTCAAGGATTGCACCTAGCAGAGTGCATGTGTCAGGAACAAGCAGACGCGGAAAGTGCAGCACAGCGAGTCGCATTCATTATGCATGGCATGAAGGTGAGGCTGAGCTCGCCGGAGTGGTTCACTGCAGCCGAGGCTTATAGACTTTAGCAACAAGGCCTTCACGTTGTCGAAAACAGCAGCCTAGCATTTGTTGGGTGATCCGTCCAACACGTTTCGGCCACGGGCTACGACAAGGCCGAATGTGTTGATGCTTACACCAGACATGAGATTCCGAACGTGGCATCGAGCGCCTTCAGCCGCAAGGCATTGAAGTCACCTCTGAGGTCGGCATGCCGCTGGACCTGGCTTCAGCCGGGCACTCTGAACGACGGGTGCAGGCATAACTTGATCAGGCCCTGTTTTTGTCTCTTCTTTCGGGCTGCATGTTGCGACAGCAAGTGTGTTTGGTGCTTGGCTCCTTTTGGTACTTGGTAGGGCCGGGTAGTGTCGGGAGTGGCGGGGAAGCCGCTCAGGATCAAAATGCCGACCCACCACCCTTTAAATGGGGTGTGCTGCAACAGCGGGACCGCAACGACAGTGTCGAGGATGAGCACACGTTGACGAACCGGGCTCCCGTGGCTAGGGCAGGGTCGAACGAAGCATCCGGCCCGCCATAGGCTTAGGGTAGAGTGGTGCAGGGGGTGAGGGACCGCTGTGGACTAGGGTGGGGTAGCTTAAGGGGGTAGGCGGTGAGGGTGCAACAAAAAAAATGCTGAGGATCAACATAAGGCTTTGGTGGTCCGGGTTTTTTGCGGGTCGGCTGCTCCGTTCTGTAAATTTGCTGCATTTCGCTTTCTGGTCGACCTCGACCGGACTTCGGCTGACTGCGCAGACCTCGGCACAGGCTACGGGCTTTCTGCAGGATTCCAAAGCCTCTGAAACTTGCTTTAGGACTGTTGTTTTTGATGTTCAGATGCGCTCGTTGATCTGAGACTTTGACGTTTCAGTGTTTATGTCCATCGTTTCGTAGCGAGGTACATACTCCAACTCATGCGGCATTGCCTTCAAAACATGAGCTACCTTTCCTTGGCATGCATCTGGATGGTGGTGGGCGTAGAGGCTTACCAAGTCCATGTAAACTGGAGCCGTGGTTGGTGTCATTCAGGGACCAGGAAGCAGCGACTGCAGTTGCCCAGTCCAGCCGCAAAATCGGCCCAGGTGTCGGCTCAGCTCGAGCTCAATGACATCCCGGAGAGCGCTCACGAGCCGGAGCCCCGAACAAACGCGCGCTTTTCGACCTGATCGTGCTCTCGAAAATTCACTGCCGTCGCTCGTCAGTTTACTGATCCAGCGGCTGGTTAGCTGGTTCTGGCAAGCGTGTGCTGAAAATTACCCACCACGAAAGATCATCGACTGCATCGTCTGCTGCTAGCGGGAGGGCGCCTAGATGTTTGTGCATACTGGTTCAATGCTACCTTATTTCATTCTTAGTATTGCTCATTAGCTTTTATATATATGCACAGAAGAGGAGGCTGTGGGGCCTGCGTTTTTGCAACCCACTATGTTCAGTGGTTTTGTATGTTTCGAGTGGTTGTGTGTGTGTGTGTCTGTGTGTGGCTGTGGGTTTCTGTGTCAGTTGGTCGCTCGCTTGGTGTACGTGGGTGCATGTTTTCGTTTCCAACTACAACATCAACTCTGAGTTGTTACAAACCACGAGGTCTGTTTATAAACACAGGGTTTGTTTATAAGCACTGCCTTTCGGTATACCGTGCTTTCAGCGCTTTGAGTTTGTTGGATGTGTTCATTGTCATGCGTCTCGTTTTCTTATACTTGTTTTGATGAAGCTAGATGGTTCGTCTGACACGTGCTCGTTGTCTAAATGTTCGTATTCATTGTATTATGTCGGAGGGAGAAGGGGGGAGGGGGGGGGGGCAGGAGTGTTGGGGAGATGTTGGAAGACCCCCCCCTCCTCCCTCCGCTTCCCCACACTGATATATAGGACTTTCTCCATGTGTCGGCTTGTGTGGTTTAGACCAAGACCTTGTTTGACTGAGACAGCTATAAGCACACTGGTATTTATGGAGTTTCTGCTTATGGAAAGCATGATTATGTTATGTGGTCCGTTGTTTGTAAAAATCTGGCCTTGTTTGTCAACACATGCGTTGTCCATAAAGGCATGCGTTGCTTTTGTGGGAAATTGTGCATATGTGCGTACGCCTGTCTTCCCGTGTAAACACAAGTGCCGTTGCTACATAGCTCAGGGTTCAAGTCTTCGCCACCATATAACCATAGTACAGGACCAGAGGGATATGAAAGGACTGTTTTTATCAAGCCAAAAGGACTACTGATACGGATACTTGGAGATGGAGGCCTTCACCACAATTATAACCACAATAGAGGACCAGAAGGATATGAAAGGGTTGTTTATGAAACCAAAAAGGCTTCTAATACGGATACTTGTGAAGATGGAAGCCATGCAAGGTCATGCCAGGGCTTGGACCACAAGAACTTGTGGAGTGTTATCATACCCCTAGCAGGATTCTGCTTCAGCCGCAGCTACCCCATAAAACCAGATGTCCGCATTCATACGGATCCAGATACTTCGTATTTTGGATTGCGGACTGTGGGCAATAACCGAGATTTGAGTCAGCTAAGACAAGTAGTAAACTTCTTAACCATGGCCAGCTTTTATTCCTTGACTCCTTTGAAAGTCACACATGTGAACACATATATGCAACTCACTCACATTTGCTGACATGCAGCACTGGTCTAACGACCTGCTAGAATCCTACGCGTTTTGCAAAATAAATACGCTAATTCAGTACGTACATCTTCTCAACGTTGCATGCCAGAGCAGATGATGCTTTGAGTTCTAGTCTTGGGTGGATTGGCCTGATAGGATGAAAAACTTGAAAGGATAAGATATATGATAATATGGCTCCGTGAGGGATGTGTCGACTCTATGCGGCCTACCCCGAGATTTGGTTTGATGAAGTACAGAATACACGGTTTTACAGTGATTCCTGCCTGTGATAGTTACTGATAGTTGCCGTGGGAAACAGATTGAATACGTAGCCAATCAATACCACGGCATCGTACCCGTTGACGTTTGACTATGCACAGGCTAAACCTGACCTCGAATACACTTTTTCAGGAGTAGAAGGGATCGCTACTTTGTGGTGTAATGCTGCGGGTACCTTTTAACTATTCGAAGATGTTGGAATATAAGTATGGTTCAACATGGATCTGCAAAAACCCAGGCGCCAACCAACCTATCTTGTAACAAGACGTAGGCCCTCAAAACAGTTCCCTCCCTGAACACCTTTAACAAGTGGGTTTTCAAAAACCCAGGCCCCACAGCAACCTGCTCTTTCTCTCTCTCTCTCTATATATATATATATATGAGCCCGACACCTTTAGGGTATATTTAGCTAGCCCTTTATATATACAATATAAAACCCCCTAGCTAAATCCTGCATATGTATATTAGACAGTGT